TTGCCAAGGCACGGCCGGCGCGGTCTCTCTGCTTCGCCCATGTTCCTTCCTTTCCAGGTGGCCCTTCCATCGCATCGCTCCAGCCTCCGTCCTTGCAGAGGGAATAGGGCCGTGCCCGCGTCATTCGTGAGCCCAGACGTCCGGGCAGGACACGCTTTCAAAACTCCATGGTCCCATACGAGCGCCGGGTTCCTCCCGACGTTGCCATGAGCAAGGGCGAAAATCCTACTGTACCCGTGACCGTATCCACAGCTTGGAGGGCAAACGCCTCGCCGAAGTCCGGCAAGACCACCACGATCCTGCCATTGTTTCCCTCTATTTTTTCTCGGGATTGTTCTCCCTCCCTGATGAAGATTATCTCCTCCCCGTCTTCCCTACCGTTCCCCCATCCATCCATCTTGACCGACCCCAGCCTTCGCACCTCGCCCTGTCTCCCGATCTGCTCCCCTTCCTGGTCCCTTCCGCGCAGGAGAAGCTGAAGCCTCACCACCCCTGAAGGAGACATGCCCCGTAAATACAAGGCGTACGGTCGATTCACAGCCACTTCCGTCAGAGGCAGACCCGGGAGGGAAGGGTCCTCCAAAAGGAGAGAGAACAGGGTCCCGTCCTCCCTCCCGCCTTCCCTCCCTCCCTCTTCCTCCCCGTGCTTGCTGCGGACGCGCCGCCGGCCTCGTCCCCCCAGAGTCCACCCCATTTCTTCTGCATGCTCTTGTTGTTCGCGCAAAAAATTGACAGAATCATAGGCAGGCACGTACAGCGTCCGTTCTACGCCTAGCGTCAGACCCTCCAGCATGGCATTAGATCCTCCCTCTTCCCTAGGCGCGTCGCGCAGGCGTGTCAGAATGGCCTGGGACATGGAGGGAGGAGCAGAAGAGGGGGAGAGAGAAAGAAGCATGTTGATGGCAGAAGCATTCTTCCGGTCGGTGGTGACGATCGTGAATTTGTAAGGGATGGACGAAACAGAGGAGGAGGAGGAAGAGGAGGAAGAGGAGGAAGAGGAGGAGGAGGAGGAGGAGGAGGAGGAGGAGGAGGAAGGGAAAGGACCGAAGAAGGGATCGGGCGCCGCCGACCAGACGGTCATTTGCAGACTCTGAGCCCGGGCATCGAGGGAAGGAAGTAAGGAAAGGAGGGCTTGGGAGAGGGCCCGCTCGAGAGAGGAGGTGGAGGGGAAAGCCGGGTGGCTTGCTTCCTGGAGGACATGAATGTCCAGGTCCCCAACGATCAAAAACTGCTCCGTATATTCCACAAAAGAGGGGATTGGCGGTAGTTGGGTCGCCTCCGCCGCTGCTTTCGAGGGGAATAGACTCGAAAACCATGCGTCCTCCTCCTCCTCTGTCTCCCTGATTTTTCGACGTTCGCCCTTTTCTTCCTCCCCTTCTTTTTCCTCCCTTCCTCCCCGGGAACAGGCCTCTGTCACCTCACATGCTTCCGCCCCCGGACCTTCTACTTGCTCCACCCCACAGACCCGGCATTCTCCCTCCAATGGTCCCCCGATGTACATGGACGTCTCTTTTTTCGGCCTTTTTCGCCCTTTTCCTGCCCCACCTTTACCTCCCATCGCCTCCAACAGGCTCGCGGCGGCTATCGAAAGGGCCAAGGGGACCTGAAACCGGTTCTGCATCTCCTCCCTCACGCTTGGGTCCGACACGTCAATCTCCCGTGTGGATGATTCTCGTACCCAGAGACTGATCTCCCTCTCCATGTCATAATATGTGCGGTTGCCTCCACCCAAAGCCAAAGAACGTCTTCCTCCCCGTACCTGACTGTCTTCCTGCTCACGGAAAAGGGCATTCAACATGACCCGGGCCTCGTCCCTCCCGCTTTGTCGCCAATTTTTCTGCTTCTCCTCGGGCGGCTCTTCGTACACGTCGCAATTTTTTTCCCCTCCCGTCACGAAAAAGGGCGGACCCGGGGCCCAGGCCGCCTCGTAGGGCTCGCAAGTCCCCTGCACCCAATAATCTTTGTGGGGGGGAACGATGGCAATCGCTTCCGCCAAGGGGGAGTAGCCGACGACCAAGGCTCCCGTCCCTACAAAGAGAGTCCCGCCGTAGCCTTTGAAGACCTCGATGGCACTGTACTCCACAAAGGGACCTCCAACCCAAACTAGGAAGCCAGCTTTGAAAAGGGAGGGGGGAGAATGGAAGAAAGCAAGAAAAAAATTGAGAAAGGCGTCACGCTTCATGAATAACGGGGCAAGTCTCCAGTTAAAAGACTGGGACATACTTAATTGACCCTGCTTCGTTGAAGTAACGAGCGTTTTAAGAGCCTAGCAAGCGAAAGCGATTTTCGAGGGGGAAAGGGAAAAGGCAGAAATTTTGACCCCGCATTAATCGACCTACCTCCTACTGCCACAAATTCCCCCGCCAACGTGCTAAGGGCAATGCCAACAAAATCAACGACCGGACTCCCGATGGCAGTGACATAGCCCGCTGCCAAATAGAACGTCCCTCCCTGCACGGGTGGGGGCGGAGACAGAATAATTCGGGTAGGATCAAGAAGAGGAAGGGGTGAAAGGGACGAAAAAAATGGGGCGAAGCAACGGCTACGCCTACCCATCCTGAGTCCTTCCTGCATACACGGCCGTCTATCGGATGCTGGGCATCCTCAAGCCTGGCAACGAAATGATCTCGCCAGAGAGGACCAAGGCGGTCTATGGAGAAACACACTTACAATGCCGGCTTCTTGGGCGGTCGACTGGGCAGCGACCGAGGGAGAGCCAATACATATGTGCGTTCCTCCCCCGACAAAAGTGTAACCCCCTGCCATACTCGAGGATAAGGGCCCTGAGTACTGGCTGAGGGCGGCACCCACGTGCACCATGACGCCTTCAAACAGGCAGTAGTCCAGTCCTGTGCCGTAAGCCGCCAAGACCCCGTACACATCCAAAAGATGAAGTCCTGTGACGATTTGCACGCCGGCCATCACGCTCATCTCCCCCGTTCCACTGAAAAGTCCAACGGCGGTCTGATACGTGAGGGAGACGCCTGTCAACACCTGGACCCCCCCGGCCACAAAGAAGGATTGCCCCGCCCCGTTCATGGCGATAGCGCCGTTCAGCTCGAAAAACTGCAGGAGGAAAGAAAGCGAGTAAGCTCAAATCCGACAGTGCATCAGCTCAAGCATCGCTGTGCGATTTCGAGGATCGCTTACCATGGGCATACTGAAAGGAGCAGAGATTCAAGGGGAGACACATACAGGCCACAAAAATACCACAAAGCTGAGTACCTCCCCAAAGGTGGTTCCAAGAGCCACAGAACGAACCTGACAGAATGTGTAGATGGCCACGCCTCCCAGCATGGCGACATTGAATCCCGCACCATTTTCAAACCCCAGGAAGGTGATGTATGCCCAGACGCAGCCCGTGAAGGACACCTCCCCGGCCAGGACTAATACGTCACCACCCAAGTAGATGCGATCCAACGGGGTTACAAATTCGAAATCATAAAACAGACACAGTTCAAATTGCAAACGGCCCCCGGCCATGAAGACGAAACCTCCATAGATTCGGAAACTAGTCAAGGCAAAGCTTTGTTCGACAATCCAATCCGTCTCGTCGCTCTGATCGTCGTCAAAATACACGCCCAGAAACCTCCCACCCGTCGCACCGGGCTCAAAGTAGACCGAACTCCCCCGATATTCTCGTACCATGCCCGTCACAGTGAACCCTTCGTACAAAGGATTCACTGGCCGCAACACACCCTTGTCCGACTGGTTGATCCGCACATAGCGCAATTCCAAATAACCGCCGTCCATGACACGGAAGCACCTTATCGACTGAGAACAGTCAAGGAAAGGAAGGAGTACGCTATTGCCCTGAATGATCACCCGCTTTGAAACCAGGATCTCATCTCGAAAGACAAAAGGAGTTTGAGCAGCAGCCGACGGGATACTGTTGCCGTCGCCGGAGACTCCGTCCCTGGAGGACGTAGACACGAGAGTAATGACGGTACATTCGGAATCATCCGCGAGAGCTTCCGCCAGTTCTTCCATGTCGCCAACGAAGCAGGCTGCGTCAGGCGTTACTGCTGCCCCCTTTTGCTGGTTGGCAAGCGGCGCCGAGGAAAGGAAGTCCTTCGTCTGTGAGAACAAATTCTTTGGAGTCGTCAATATTGCAGGGGTTTCTTTCGAAAACGTGACACCGGTCTCATCGTCTGTCGATGCAGGAAGTGGCATATCCGTGGCAATGGCTGCCTGACCCCCACTTAAGTTTTGGATGACATCGTGAAGGCCAGGAATCGCGGTAGATGATTGCTCACCTGGCCCAGGGCTCTGAATATCCGATTCAGCTCCTGAAAATCTCTGCTAAAGACAGGGTTTAAAATGTAAAAGCTTAAGACTACATTTGCCTTACACGTAAAAATGCTTCTGCATTCTGGAACTCACCTTGACAAGGACAACGGCGACCGTGATCGCCATGCCCATTAAAACTATAAGCGCGAGCGTCCTTTTTCTCCGCCATGTTGCGGCATACTTCCTTGATTCAGGCTCGGACAGGGTCTTTGATGTCGGTGGAGGTGGGTGCTGTGAATTCTGGACACTAGCATCTGAATCCTTGCTGGGTGCTTCGGGACTGCTTGTACAGGCCCTACTCCGACAGGAAGGCATGGAGTGTTGCTGCGGGGACGACCAGGCCGAGAAGTCAGTCTCCGGTGGTGCCATAGGGGTCCCTCTATTGTGCAGTACTTCCTCCCCCTAGAAATGATGGCCATGTATCATGAAGGAGGGGACAACTTGAGATACCTCAAGCAAAAGAGACCTCCGTCCTAGTTGCTCGAAGCAAGTGGGACGGCGAACAGGAACTGTGTTGGCGAGCGCCCGGATGACGCCAAAAACCCCGACGATCGCATTTCCCCTTCCGGAAAGCCCACCGGAGATACGCGACACCTGCACATTCATGCATTTCGCATTCTTGGAGGGAGAAGACATGCCCTGACATGCTGATTGAGATGAAATCCTTCGTCCTCTGGAAAGGTTTATCACATGGCATCCTCCATAATGTAGCTTTACCTAGCAATCCGCCCCTCGCTCATTTCGTTCTCCTACAAAGGAATGTCCTTAGTAATTGCACAGCCCATGTGGAATGTGGTTTGTGCGTTGTGAGATGTGTCGGGTCTACCTTATAACTTAAATTTTTTGGGACTATTTAAACTAAAGTTGGGAGGCTGACCATAGACACGTGCTGCGCGTAAGGGATCAAATGCGCATGCTAGAGGCTTTTGTAATGCCAGTGATTTTATGGCGCAACGTGACATATGTGAGCAAGAATATAATACTGAGCCTCAAATCGAGCAATTGAAAGGATAAGGAGGCTGTATGGTGGAATTTTGGGAGGAAGCCAAGAATCATCTCAAAAGGGTGGAGTCGGCACTCGGCGGATCAATGTCGCGGATGCCCGAAATAAAATATTTCGACATCTTGGCCATTCACCACTTGATGTCATTTCGATACATGTGGGGCTTTTTGTGTCTATAAAACTCTTTAACAGCATGCTCACAGAATAAGTCGTATGGTAAAGTTGATCCTTTTAGGCTTCTGGCGGAACAACTCTTGATATAGTGATGTATCTCCTGCTTGGACTTTCTTCCAAGTGACATGGGTAGAAGATTCAATCTTTTATCTCGCCATCGAGCAAACTCGCATATCTAAGCGTGTGGACGAAATAAATTCTCCTAAACACATGGAGTCTTGCCCGCATATTGACGCTGTAATCATTGATCGAAGTAAGGGGGAAAAAATACATTTTCGTAAATGACAGTTAGTAAGGCTACATTCGTCTTCACTTTGTCCTACAGGCGGTCACTCGCCTCTGTGGCCCGAGAGTACGTAATTCCACACCTCACGAATACGTCCAGAAAGATCTCTTCCCTTCTCTACACTCCCAGCCCTGCAGGTAAGCTTCATTTGAATGCACAAAGTGCTCCCCTTCAATCTAGTCATGTATTTTCGTGGCTACTCACCCCATATGCATACGCCAGGCATGTCGCTGGTAAAGCCTCTGAGGGTGGCCGTTGGAAAAATGGAGGAACTGGGACGATGCTGGTGGTTACATTCCATATAATGCCAGGCGAGCAGGCCGACAGTGTATAGGCAATCTCAACATACTGTCGTCTCCCTCCGCTTACGTTGAATGGGCCATATAGCCACCATGCGCTTGGCAAGAAAGGAGGAATCAGAGTCGCGCCCGGCAAGGCCGGCTTTGCCCGGGGCTCCCCTGCCCAGGAAGCCGTGGCGGGTTTTTGAAAAGAAAAATAGACGTTCTTGTACAAAGAACCCCTTTTCCGGTTTCGGATGACTACGGCCAGGCGATAAACACCGTCTGAAGAGGCAGTCGTGGGCCAAGCCTCCTTGGGGTTTTTGGGATAAAATTTCAAAATGCATCCCTTTTTCCGCTCTCGACGCTCAGCACGGGTCACTTTATTTCTTTTGGAGCCAGCGAATGCCGGAGAATGCATGAGTACAAGCATTAAAAGGAGGAGAAGAATACTTGAAAGAGGAGAAAATGCTCGCCCCATGGTCGCGCTATGTTTTTGTCGAAATAAAGATAGGAGGGACACAAACCATTGAATGTTGGTGTGAGTATGCCAGACTCGCATATTTAATCCTTCATGTGCTTAGCATATAAAAATCAAATAAATCACTTGTGAAGTTGTAAAGATGACGGTGTCGCCTCCCCATGCTTACGATCTGAGAAGCCTCCCGACCTTCGAATGGCAAGATTAGCTGACGGGCATGCAATGACCATGCCATATCATTCGTAAGGTCATCGGCAAAACAAGGGAAGAAACGTGGTTTGGCTTTTAACGTGAGGAACAAGCGCATAGCCATGACAAGGAATACCGTTGTCTTGAAGCGTTCGTCTTCTATCTATCTTATCCCTTCCATTTTGCTAGGGGCCGAACCACTTGCACAGGCCGCTCATTTGAACAATCGACGAATGTGGTTTATATCCTTCACTCTTTCATACAGAAAGGCTACGTATTATTATCACGACCTTTATTAATTTTTTGGATGGGGACTGACGCAAGGAGACAACCGTTAGAATTCAAATACTTTTTTTTTTTGAAAATGGTTACCGTGGCGGTTGTATGCAGCGAGACAGCGCAATTGGGCACCTGTGACAGTAAGGCGTCATCATCATCATCTTCTTCATCTTTCAATTTCGTCTTTTCTATTGACATAACTGTCTTTTTTTGGGAAAAAACTTTCGTTTGATAGCTTCTGTGCGGTAACAGCTCTCAATTAATCAGCTTCAAACCGAACACTTTTCACGAGCAAAAGTATCACATGAACGAGAAGTAAAGCGAGACATGAGTCTCTTCCACTCACCACAGCGATTTCCAGTAAATTTCTTTGGCTCTTACATGTGATGAGAATGACAGTACCGCTCCAGCAATCCGTCTTCACTTGTGGCCCGCATAGTATATAACATGAGGGAAACTACGCCATAGCTTTCGAGGATAGACGACAAGTTCCGCAGCTTTCTCGATCTGACTTGTTGTCCAAAGTTGGCAGGTGACGTATTATACCCCGAGAAACTAAATATGTTCGCAAAAGATGTACTTACCAAGAATGATTGGAACAAGAAGATTTGCCATCAGATAAATTTGACAGTTGATTTCTTGCCACTGCGCCTGACGAATTCTCTCGCGTGACACAGTCTGAATCATCAAAAAATAGGTAGAGAGCATTATAATCGAATGATGTTTTGAAATGGCATGCGCGAAATCTGTGTCCCTCTTTTTGTTCTTCAAATCATCGCCATTTCCATCTTACACTTGGACGGGAATTTAGCTCCCCTTTACTTTTTCCTGTTTTATTGCATCTGACAGAGGACCTTCTCTGAAGGTCAATGCACAGCTTCGCTTGCGATTCGTTTTTCATTTTCGTTCGGCCATTCGCAACAGTTTTGACCTGCCACTGCCCAATTTAATGAGTAAACCTGATTCATACGCTAGTGAGTGGAAAGTACTTGTTCGCTCTTCTTATCCTCCGCACTAGTCCCATTTTTCAAATGCGCAGAGCCACGACTTCAAAGGAATGTGTTAGGGCCTCCTCTATTCATTTTTAATTATCAGACTCGAAGAACATTTTTAGGTATCAGACTCGAAGAACATTCACAGTACCTGAAATTCCCCCGCCTTTGCCGATTTTGGACGCTCCTTGATTACAATATATTTAACGGTATATCGACGTGCGTAGATTCAGGACACAATTACCTGTGCACAGAAAAGTGCGCCGCAAGACTTTAATTCCACTTTCCGCCGTTGTAGATGCACTTCTCTTCCAACCATAAATGGTAAGAGAGGAAATTCCCATACAGGAAAAGGTAGCAGTGCATGCTAAATGTAATTGAAAATATCCATGTCGGTGCTGCTTCACAAAAGAAAAAAATTTGCGCTCAATTTTCTTAGCCTTTGCGAGAAAATTTCGAGATATTTACTCGCTATGCGGTGCGTAAAGCTGTAAATGTATGGCATTGACGGTTTGCGTGAGCTACGTAATTGTTCATTTTAAGCGTAGTACTTCATATTCTTTTCTTGTCATATTTTCAAAATATATTTTCATATATTTTTTTTGAGCTGTTGTGAAAGTAAGAGCGAGTCATTGTCGCCGGAACAAGGACTCATGCCGTTGGGCCAGATTAATGTGCACATGGCTATACCAGTCGCCTGCGATTGGCTATCGCGCAGCGAACATAGATCTACGCTGAAAGGAGAAGCTAGTATGGGCCAAGAAATGAGGCAGCTCTATTTCTTTTCTCAATACACATTTTGTACTCTGATGAAGACAGATTTTCCGACATCTGAAGAGTCCGTGACATTTTGCGTACTAAACTTGCCCTCGCTCTGCGATAACGTAAAACACGATCCTCTACCTATCTAATGGTGGGATCTCATTTCTTGTATGCTCGCCTCGATAAGCCGTCATAGATAAACTGAATAAGGTTCCCGCGACGCCGACATGATTTACATGTAATACCTCTAAAATGCTTGATCCATGACCAATCGCTAACTCAAGCGAGCGGCACAGGACAAGTCTGAAAGACATTTGACGTGCAGAACTGCTAGAGCGATGAGGTACTAAGAATTGGTACTACGACAGGCGTGTTGCATTGTTCGAGCGATTAGAATTATTGGAGCGTTTGCGAAATCAAATGTCCTTTTCTCTATCATCCCGAAAGGCCGAGAGAGCACTTCAACGGCGGCTTTCCTTTCGATTTGAACTTTCAAACCAGTGATCACTGCGTACTTCCGGGTCGTCACCTCGCACGCTCCCATTCCGGCTAAAATCCGACGGACGTTATTTAAGTGCTGATCTTTGGACATTTCGGGACCATGTCTTGCAAAAGCGTAAAAGGATGCTCGTGGCAAAAGGAGAAGCGACAGTTCCTCGGGATTGATAAACTCTCATGCGAGATAACACATCACTCGCTTATCCTCATCCTTTGTACAAATATATAACAATGGCGTATTTCATTCGTATTGTTTTATAACCCAGACACTGCTATCTAAATCTTGACGGACACGCACCTATCCAAGTGGACAGAGAACGCAAACTTGGTTATCGTCAATGGCAAACGATTGCGACATTGCCTAAAGCTATCCTTTCCTATAAGGCCTCGATCATCACTAAGATAGAAAGACCCTACAAACCTCTGCAGTATAAGATGGCCACAAAGACTTTCCATTTCCAACGCTCTACGTGCTGCAACCCTTATCGACGCATCGCAGTATTGTCCCTCGCCATTCTCGGCCTGACCCTGGTGTCATTCTATTTTCACATACGCTTCGACGTGACCTCGTTCAAACTCCTAGCCTTCAACCTGATAGACGAGACTCCTTCCAGCAATGCAAACAACCTCGTGACCATCACGACCATCACCAATAGCAGCAGTATATCCCTTACTGACACAACAGCACCAGCACTTCATGCAAGCCTCGCCCCTATGATCATGCCCGCTTGGACGGACAACCATCGTTTCTATGTGTTGGGAGGTATCTTGACACGGGACCAGATCGATGAGCGTTTGTGCATGGACGTGATGGTGGCGGGTCGGCGCATGTTCCTGGAGGTAAAAGAGAACTTCGGTGTGCGTGACCTCAACGAGGATTGGTCATTGGGGAAGTCACACAACGTGGCAGATCTCGACGAGGTCGTGGCGTTGGGTGGGAGAGTACTGTGTCACGTCAGCGGAGAGGGGAACGTCGTAGAGGAAGATGCCGTGCTTGTCCCTATGAGAAGCCCTTTCAGCCCTTACGCAAGCGGACTCGTCCATATCATTCGTTGTCCTGTGGCGGATGCCTTTCCGCTGGACGCTGGAGACGTGGATGTGACCGTCCGGGTCGTATTTGGCGGCAATCAAACACAGAACTCCATCAAGTATGGATGGGAGTGGCCCCGAAGCAACGGCACGGACGCTGGTCGAGGGCAGGGCAAGGGCGGCGAAGAGCGGTTCCGAGTCGTCGTGCCACGCGCGACGCGTCACGCGGGCTACTTTAGCTACCTACCAGAGGCTTCCAAACTGGATCCATGGCAAGCTCAGCCCGACAAACTGCACCTCTGTGTGGCGGGACTGTACACAAACTTCACTTGTCCGCTGCTGGATCAGACGTTAGAGTTTGTCGAGTACCACACACAGCAAGGGGTGGCGCACATTAACCTGGGAGTCGACTATCCTGTAGGATCGGAGTCGTGGAAGGCCGTGCTGCGGGTGCTGCGGCCTTACATAGACGAGCGAAAGGTGTCCGTTATGTCGACACAGAGCGTGCGAGGCCCTGGATGGATCGGGACGGAACACTTCAAGCTCTACTTCTACGCCTCTTGTCTCGCCTACACCAAGGGCGTGGCTACGTGGGTAGGCATCTGGGACATCGACGAGTACCTGGTGCCACGTGACGAGGGCGCGAGCACGATTGTGCAGTCGCTTGACACCGTGCTGAGAGAGGCTGACAAGACAGCGAAGGACGTCTGTTTCATGTCTTTCACGTCATTTGGCTTCATGGAGGTCAAGGAGCTCAGGACCATCGGCAACCGGACATGGGCGGGACAGATGTTTGGGCACTGGCGGCAAGCAAAGAGTGACGACAACTGGACAAAGTCGATCCTGTCCAACCGAAACGCCTACTTCACTGGCTCCCACTACCCGGGAGCTTGCAGGGACGTAGGGGGTAGACGATGGGGCGAGAATCCACGCGCAGACCTCTGGCGTATCAATGCAAGCGTACTAGCCATGCATCACTATCGAGGGAAGGTGTCCTCGGTAAAGAAGCCGAAGTCCAACGTCGCGGAGGACGACGAGTACGGCATGCGTCTTTTCCCCGCGGTCTTGGACGGCCTACGGTCAAGGAAGGCAGACGAGATCGTGGAGAGGGAGTGCGGCTTCCGCCCGTCCATGGCTGTCGAGTATGTAGAGGGTCCTGAGGACCAGGGAAGAGTAGCCGTGGTGGGAGTGCTAATGAAGGGAGATGAGTAGGAGCAACGTTTGACTCATGTCCTGAACAGGGATGTAGGGTTAGGGAGCAAGAAAC